TATTTAGAAAAAAAAAAAAAAAAAAAAAAAAAAAAAAAAAAAAAAAAAAAAAAACAGTCCAAATTAATTTAAATTGGCTAGAGAAAAGAAGAGTTGGTTCCTTTTTATTCAATGAATTGCAACTAGCTTTTTCCTACTCTTTCTTATTGGCGAGGAACATTAAATATTTCATCATTAAACAAACTAAAAGCTAACCAAATTCTTATCCACTATGCAAAAGCATAGATTGGAGTTCTCTTTATTTAGCACACTATAATTGATGTTACTGTGATTTGGTCAAAGAAAATAAAAAAAAAAATCATGATGTTTTTTTAAAAAAATAATAATTTATTTAACAATTCATCACTAGATCTTTTTATTTTATTTTGATACATATTGCTATTTTAATCATGTTCCTAGTTATAAAGTGGTAATTATATTTTGCGCTCCTCTTAAGTTGATATTTAAAGGGAGAAATGGGGGCAGTAATCTTATAATGATTAAAAAGTGGCATAAACCTTTATACTCTTCCATTAAAAGGACCTCTAGATTTTTCATAAATATATGTCATTGAAAAAATATATATTACCTGTGATTACCACTGATTTTTAACAAAAATTGTTGTATTGGGATATAGGACCGGTGCGGAATTTTTTGTTATAATTAGTGAATCTCAAAGATAACTTATGAATTCATAACTAATTAAAAAATTGTGGTGATATTCACTGATATGTAACAACATTTCTCATGTCATAAAAGTTTTAAGATTAAGAAAAAGGCCTATGCATTGACAATCATGATATCTGAAGATTCTTAGTGAAAAAAAAACAAAATCATGATTTACAAACACGTACAAATACGTACAACAAAAAAACATACAAATACTTTTCTTTCAGAAAAAAAAGGGGGGACATGCAAATACATAACTCTGTATTTTTAGTGTTTCATAATTATATAGTCGATCGAATAAATAAGCAAACACTCCTTTGCTTCATCGGAGTAAAATTTATCTGCAATCCACTCAACAGTCTCAACTTATGTGTAAAATCTCTTTAATCAGTCAAATAACTACTTTGACATTATTGCCCCTACTATTTTATTTGAGATTCTCGAATCTCATTCAAGATAAAACTTTTTTTTTTTTTGTATTTTTACATAGTGGGGTGATTGTGGCAACTTTATAATAAAAACCACAACGTAAAGTACTAAAAGACAACTCATATACGATTGGTGCTGAAGAAAGGAAACACAGACTACTTTTCCTTCTCTTTACTCTCTAGCCAGTCATATTTCTCTTGGAAAAACCAAAAAGCTGATATTTTTAAACAAAAATAAAAAAGAAAAGAAAACGAAAATCTCAAACATTTTCTTCTTGTGTTTCCCTGGAAGCCAAGAAGAAAATAACACTAAAATTGATCACCCCAAATAAAAAAGTTTATACATACTAATCACTACACCTTTCTGCTCATGGATTGTCCTCTCGCTCCAAGCTTAAATATCACTTAACAATCTACGGAGATCGCAGGTTAAACGGTAAAGAATCTGACTCCATAGTTTCGTCAACTAGTATATAAAAAATATAAAATCGCATCTAACTCAAATCATATTTTACAGGCCGCTATGTCGCCACCACCAGTGGTATACTAATCACTAGATTTAGTTTTGAACTAATCATTTTCACATAACATCTTTTAAGTTCATCATACAGAGCAGTATATATATACCTATATTACGTATAGATATATATATATAGAGAGAGAGAGAGAGAAAGCTTTCACTTTTGAATGATTACCTCGTGAATGGAGTGTTGAGGGTGGAGAGAGAGAGGGAAAAGAGGGCAACCAAGAACGCTGAGGAGGATTTTGAGGTCAGACCTTTTGGTGAAGACGAGAGAGAGATGGGTTTTGATCCAGTTCCGCCATGTCTGACGCATTCCTTTCTTTGAGCTGTTCGCAGAGTCGTCTTCTTCGTTTATGGGTTCCTCCGAAAGTGGCTCAAGTCTACCCATTTATTTTTCGCCGCTTCTAATTTGCTCTGTTTTCTTTTTTTGCGTTTTCAGACAAGAAAAGAAAACGCTCAACTGAGAGGAGAAAAACTATACTTAAAGAGAGAGAGAGAGAGAGAGAGAGAGAGAGTTGTCTCTGTTTTTGTGATTGTCAAAGTCTTCACACCACGCAGATTGAGCGCGTGTACAACATGTGCACCAATTTAGAAGGGCATATTGATCCCTCTCTTTTGATGTTGGCGAAAATGTCCTTAAACTCTACTAATGTTGGCAATTAAGCCTTTTTTGTCTACTTCTATTAAATTTTTGACAGAACCCGTCACGAGTACAACATGTACTCCAATTTAGATGGGCATATTGGTGAAATAATTTTTAATCTATGATTTAATTGAAAGAAAATGTTGCAGTTCTCAAAAAGTAAAAAGTCTGTTCGGTGAGGTAATTTTTGAGAAAAAAACTCAAAAAAAGATAATTTGAGTTATAATTTTATTCGAGTTCATATTCTTTTAAATTTGAACTCGAGTTTAGAATTAAAATTCGAGTTCAAGTTTTTACTTCAACTCGAGTTCAGAAACTCAAACTCAAGTTAATGAACAGTATTTTTTTATTCTTAAAAATACTATAACTTTTTCGTTTTAATTCTGATTGAAATGATTTTTTTTCTATGCGTTGACAACGAAAATACGAATAAAACTAGACCCATATACCCTATTAAAATTTTTCATCAGTATTGAGTTTTTATTAAAATACTATCTAAAAATAAATTTAAGTTTTGACTTACTCAAACACAAACTCAAAAAAGATTCTTATCTCAAATCATAACTCAAATGTACACAACTAAACACAAATTCAAGTTACAACTTCAACTCAAATTATAACTCAAACTCAACTCAAAATCTACACACAAATTACTTAACTCAAAAATATCAAAAAAAACAAGGCAAAAGAAACTCAGAATTAAAAAGTTAAATACTTATCTCAAAACGTTCGTTAACTATATTAATAGAAAAAAATGATCTTTGTCGGTGACCCCTAGCTAAGCGGAGGAGAGCATATCTGATCGGAGAAGAAAATCGACACGCGAGGACGGCGTGGAGGCAATGACGGTGCTACGAGCGAGGAGGGCTCCGAGAAAGAGGAAGGTGTTGGAGGTGAGGACGTTGGGCAATGGCGGCATTGTCTGAGCGTGGGTGTGGGCAGTGGAGGATCGGGCGATGACGGCAGGATAACAGAATTTGATCTTTGCCGGCGATGGCTAGCTAAGCGGCGGAGGTGATCGCGGTTTTGTGCAATAAGAATAGCGTTATCAATAAGTTCCTTCATTGAGATTCGTGCTTTTTGCGTCTTGATCAACAAGCAAGCAAGCTATATGAGTTCATTATTTAAATAATCAGCAATAAGAATTCTACATAAACTTGAGTAAATTCCATTACTGAAATTTGAAGTTTAAGGATTACGAATTTCTAGCTCTAAAAAAAGAAAAAAAAATAAAACCTTTTTTTTGGGTGAGGTCAGAGGATATTTTTATCTTTTCTTGAGAAAAATGGACATGTGATGGTCACATGCAAGATTCTGTTATAAATTAACGGAAAGTAGACGAAAATGGCTTAATTGTCAACATTTGTAGAGTTTAAAGACCTTTTCGTCAAAATTTAAAAAAAAAAAATTAAATTGTCACCTATTAAAGAGATTAAAGACTAATGGTGTCAATTATTTTTTTTATGGACGGTGATTAACTGATTTTAAATGATCTAATTGTTGAATTAGGAATATATTACGTGTTAGGGATAAAAGTTTATTAAGTTTATTCCTAACTCTGTTGCTGGCTTAAATTTTGGAATATGGTAAGTAAGGTTTTTTTTTTTCTTTTTGCTTTTTACGTTGAGTTGTCATTTTTTGGATATTCTTATTTTATTTTATTATTAGCCTTCGTGCCTGGTATAATTTTCGTAATTTTTCGTTTATTAGTGAATTAGAGTGAGAAGTTTAATAGATGACTTTTTTTTATTAATGAGTGCAAACTTAATAGAAATGTGTTAAGGACCCGTTCATTTTATCGATTCGAGTTTAGAATTTGAGTTTTGTTACAGTAAAAAACTCTCAGAAACAGTCACATTTAATTTTTTTGCTATAGTAAAAAACTCTCACATAAAATCACATTTTAACCCGAATTAAAAACTCAAATCAGCAAACTAAACGGTTTTATATCAGTGATCTTTTCTTTATAAAATTTGTTTTATTAACTTGAAAAAAAAAAAAAAAGAGACAGGAGTGCAAACTGCTAACAAAATTTAAGAAAAATACAAGATTTTGTTTTTCTCGAGATTTGATTAGTTTTTTTGAAAGTCAATTTTGCATAAATGGACTTTTAGAATTAGCTGAGGAATTAATATTCGAGTTGGTTTTGTTTGTTGTAGTTGTTGTTGACTCTAAACTAGTGTAGATCATTTGCACGCTTGAAAATCAGTTTTGCATAAATGATCTTTAATAAAAAAGGGAACTTAAAAAAAATGAATTACGGATATTTTTTTATTTTTAACTATTAAATTTGTATATAAAATTGCCTATTATACATATTTTTTTAATATAATTTTGATCTAATTTAACAATTAAAAATTGATATTACGAGTACAACAGGCCTACAAGAGAAACTCCTAAAATTATGGGAATCCAAAGAACAAAGATAGAACCCCTAAACGGTAAGGATTCCAGCAATTGATTTGCCTTTAATAATAATAATAAACATTAGTCCTTTCCAAGAATTAGAAAAGAAAAAGAAAAGAAAAGGTTTTTTTCTTCACCTTTTGGATGGGCTTGGAGACAATGGGGTAGCCCGGTAGCCCATCTTTTGAAGATGGGTCTTTTCACGTGGGAAAGAGAAGCTGTAATATTAAATAAATATATTTATTTTTTCTTTTTATTACATCTTTAGATAAGTCTATTATCAAAAAGGAGTAATGATAGTGGCAAGTTATCTGGGTTAACAGCTTTTGGCTAATTACTTTCATTTAATTTGTACTTGCAAATAAAAGGGAGGAAAAAAAAAAAAAAAAGTTGAAACTTTAGGGAATGTCAGGGACATGCACATGCACTAGACAAACTGTTACACCCACACCCAATTGCACCAAATACATTTATAATTTAGTTGGTATTATTAAATACATCACATGCACTAAGCTTTGGTTAAGATCCATAAAACACAAGAAGTAAGTTTAAGCAAGCGAGAAAAGAAAAAAAAAAGAAAAAGAAAAGAAGAAATAGTAACAGCAAGGGAAACTATATTTACACCCCAAATTTTTATCAAGGCATCCCAAAATGTTTAAATTTTTATTTATTTATTTATTTATTTATTTATTTATTGCTTTTGAATAACAAAATCTCATATAATTCCACAATTACTTTTATGTAATTAAACTATTTCGTTATAAAGATTTTGCTTTCTTTTTCTTTTTGGCCGACTTTCCATTTGAATATTTTTTTACTCAATTTCATTTAAAATTGAAATCAGATTTCATACGTTTATTCCTCGAAAATAGTTACCTTGAAATCAGAATTTAAATTACTGCTAGTTTAAATTTATTTTGCTTGAAATTAGAATCTACGAGAGCTTCTTAATAACGTGATAGACAAATCTAGGTATAACATCGACGCCAACGAAGTCATATTACGAAACAAAACATGTTCAGAAAATAAAGCATAAAAAAAAAAAAAAAAAACGAAGAAACACTCAATAAACAATCAGTAATTAAAATTATGATGATATCAAGGAAACCCTTTTGCTTAATAAATCTATAAAGTCTGATTTTAAGTTCAAATGAAATTGAACAAAAAAACTTCATATAGAAAGTTAGTGAAAAATCTTTTTAACAAAATGGTTTAAACATGGGGTGCATATAAGGGTAATTATGGAATCATACAAGATTTTATTATTCAAAAGCAAAATTTTTTAAAATTTAATCATTTTGGGTGCCTTAATAAAAACTTGGGGGTGTAAACAAAATTTTCCTAATAGTAATATGTTTGACATGTGAAAATATAAAATGTTTTTTTTACTATTAAAAAAATTGAAAAACCGAAACCGATCGTCTATCAATCAACAAACTGCTTATATAAAACCGACATAATCGATCAATGGGACTATTGGTTGGTTAACCAAACCACCTACTGCGTGAATGGTTCGGTCCTTAATTCCAGCATTGCAGGTTCGATTGAAACAGAACCGACCAACGCCTTATATTAAAAAAAAAAAGTAGACTAAATAGTTGGCATGCACCAAACTCCTTGAACTAGCATTAGATTGCTCTAAAAAAATGGCTTTACTTAATAGCAAAATACTTCTAATAGTGCCTATATTTTTGGACATCAAATCATACTAAATAAAATGGTATAAACATCAAACAATATTCTCATCACTAAATGTCGATGATAGTCAAGAATTTTGGATTTGGGTATATTCTTTTTCATTACACTTTTATCTGCTGTATAAAATGGGGTGGGAGTGGGACGAACAAAGCAAACTTTTCCATTTCTTTTCTTGTTTTTTTTTTTAAATGTAAATATTTCTTTTCTTACTCCATTCGGTTCGTTAATTCAAGTTTTTAATTTGAGTTGAGATGTGATATTATGTGAGAATTTTTTACTGTAACAAAAAAAATTAAATGTAATTATTTTTAAGAATTTTTTACTATAATAAAATTTAAATTTTAAATTTAAATCAATAAAAAAAACAGGATCAATTTAGTTGTACAATAGATGTGGGGATTAACACTGTAAGAGCTACGTGACCATATGGCGCGTGAGAACATTATTTTGTCTACCAAAGCATACTTTTTATGTGGTTAGATATGAAGAAAGAGCTTTAAAGGGAGGTAACTCAGGTAACGTGTCAACATCCTGTACTGCCTGCAATTATAGCTATTCTGGTAGTTTGGTAACTCAAAAATATTTCTATAATTCATTTCAAAAAGAAAATAATAAAGATAAGAAAGAACAATAGTGCATGCTTTGCAACGTTAAAATATTAAAATCACGTTAAAATAAAGGATATGTTAAACTAAATTTAACAATTCAAAACAAAATATTAATTG